TTCCATAAGAATCATGCAATTATTTTTAAATGTACATTCATGAGCTTTATTTCCAGAGATAATTTAAGAGATTCTGAGTTGGGCCTGGAGTCTTCCCTGTCAATCAGCCCTTCAGGAGATTCTGATGGTTCAGGCATCACATTTTCAAAAATATGCTCCAAAGATTGCTTCCAGGTTATTAGGCTTTCTAAAGCAAAACAAATATTCACTCACTCTACAAATATTTACTGAATATTCTGTATGCCACTTGGTATCCAGTAACATACAAGAAAATCTTTGTACATTATCTATATCCACTTTGTGTGTGCATTTTCTGGTACCATGAATTTCCTCTTTCATAGTATTTATCACACTATAATTGCTTATGTAAGTCCCCTTCACTAGAAGCTGAGTGAGGCAGGGACTGCTTCCAGAAGCAGATAAGATCTGAAAGATGACTGTAAATCAGCTAGACAAAAAGGTAGTACATGTTGGTCAGAGGCAACAATGTACAAAGGGCCACACAGCTTGGTGGTTTTGAAAAGAAACTCTATACGAATGAATGGTAAATTCAGGATGGGTGAGAGAGGGATTATGGCAAGATGAGGGAAAAATTAATGAGAGACCAGATTAAAAGGACCTTGTTAATCGTTAAGGAGTCCGGGTCACATCATGAAGGCAAGGGGGGAGGTAATCGACAGTTTGAAGCAGGAAGAAGCATGATCAGTCTGCATGGGATTTCTCTGCCCAACCACCTCTCAAAAAAATTCAATTTCTTTAGCCTGGCATTCAATGCTTGTCTCTATTCTACTCTTTTTTAGCCATCTGTTGTTCATTGGTCCCTTTCAGACATGCAACACACCAGTTGATCTCAATTACTTCTATTTCTTTTTAACAAACTACCTATTCTTCCTCATGTTTTCCTTCTGCCCAGAACACTATCGCTCTACTCTATGTTCGCATTTCTGAATCTCATCATCTATCAAGGTTTAATTCAAATGAACCACTCCCTAATTTCCCCCAGTATTGTTTGTGCTTTTTGCCCAACTCTCATTGTAATTTTTTGTACTTTTCTTTTGGCATGTACCATATCAATCTTAGACTACCTTATCTGTGTACTGTTAACTCCCCTTACCAGAAAGTACTACTCCAAAGAAAGGGAGAGTATGTTAGTTAATCAAGCAGGTAATTCACATTTAAATGACTGAATATATTTTATTACATGAGATTGGACACATCTAGAATGCAGGCCAGGGAAACTGCTACCAAATCAAGAGACACTGTAGCAAACTGATAAAAATAATCTCTATTCTCTGTCACAGCCTGCAGAAATAAAGTTTAGTTGAATTAATACCCAAATAAACCCTGGGTTTTTGTGTACAGCAAAATACATATATAATTTGGCAAATCTCAAAAGGCAGGATGTATTAATCAAAGGAGGGAAGAAAAGGAACATTTATGAAGTACCTACATTATTTTACTTAATCCAAACTTATCAGGTATCAGGTATTATTTCCATCACCTCCATTTTTTCAGATGGGGAAAGGCCTAAGAGGTTGATTTGACCAACATGACACAGTTAATGACAGAGCTGGAATTTTTAACACAGGTTTGTCTGAATTCCTACTTCGCCTTAACTGCTGGTTCATGTTTTCCCCTAGTCTATCACATTACGTTACTTACCCAAACATAATTTGCATTGATCTAATTCTTTTAAAGGAGATTGGTACAGTGGCAGGCTTAGACCTTGTTCTTCGAATGTTACCGGTGTTGATGCCAACTGATGATAAGGTTTCCTTTGTGGTGTTTTAAATAGGTTTGGTTCATAACTGCTGACTTTATATTCAGATTCTTCTGCAGGTTCAGAATTATAGGGTGGAGCTTCTGAAGAAAGCTCTTCAAACCAGTTAAGGCTTACTGGCCCTAAATCTGTAAGAAAATAAAAATCCCATCTTGGTTTTCATCAGTGACAGAAAAATTCATGAGCTAGTAAAGATTATAATGAAGAAAAGGATGCTTGGGATTTTGGTGGTGGGTTACTTTTGTTAAAGCATGTTAATTATAGATCATTAATCTGCTCTATTAGCAATCTGTAGTAAGGTATAACAGGTTTACAGGAGTTACAAGGAGACGGTTCTTCGTTCTATTAGCTCTTCTAAAATCTCCTTTCTCTTACAGTCACGATTCAGAAACAAAGGCATTCATAGTAAGAATGCATTCCACAGATACAATTCAGGTAATTATAAGACTACCTAAGTGGATGTTATAAATCTAGAGGTACAAGGAACATGTAGATTCACAAAGAAAATGAAATAAAAAGATTTTCTGTTAAAGAGAAAAGACAAAATTTCTACCATGATCTATCCACCCATATAGTGGTTCTCAAAGTATGGTCTGTTGGACCATTTGGGCGGAAGGTCCCCAAGACCCTTTCAGGAGGTCCATAAAGTCAAAACTATTTTCATATTAAGACTAAGGCATCATTTCCTCTTTTTACAATGTTGACATCTGCACAACTGGTGGGTAAAACTGATGACAACTTTGCACGAATCAGGCAGTGGCAACCAACGGTACTAGTCAGTATTGTTCATTGTGCACATTAAAAAAAAAAAACCAAAAGAAAAAGCCAGTTCAATTTAAAACGTCCTTAATGAAGCAGTAAAAACTAGTCGTATTAAAGCCCAACTGTTGACCACATCTTTTTAATATTGTGACGAAAAAGAAAGTATGCATAAACATTTCTGCATATTTAAGTACAACAGTGGTCTAGAAAAGCATTCATGAGTTGAGCTGAATTAGCACTTTTTCAAGGGAAGACATTTTTACTAGAAAGAACTCATTAAGTCGATGAAAAATACGAATGATAAAACGTTAAGCTTTCAAATGAGAATTACAATTTTGTTAAATTTTAATCAGCCTCGGTGAGCTTGACATCTTCCAATCTTGAGACTTTCCTGGTGAGATCAGTGAATTGACAAATGCGATTTTTCATATTGTTTAATGCAATGTGCCAATATATGGAATTTCTGTTTAATTAAGAACGCCAGCATTTTCCCTATCAATGAGTGATGGTACAGCTTGGATAAATGATTTATTCACAGTGCAAGAAAGACGAACAGAATTTACTGTAACAAGAGTATGGTTTCAGATTCCACACTGCAAATCTTCAGAAACATTCCTCGTAAGTGTTGGTGTAGATTCAAAGAAATATACCCACAATTAACAGAAGATCACTAAAAGAGTCTGTTTTCAACTACATTGCTGTGTGAAGCTCGATTTTTTTCATGTACGTCTACCAAAACAACAGATTGCAACAGATTAAATGCAGAACAGATGTGAATCCAGCTATCTTTATTAAGCCAGATATTAGAGAGATGCAAAATTATAAAATACTGCCACTCTTCTATTTTTTTGAAGTTTTCATAAAAATGTCATTCATGTTAGTATCAATGAGTTTATTTTTAAGTGAATACATTTTTTTAAAGTTCTTTGTTTTAATTTATAATATGGTAACCTACATAAACAAAAGCTCTTTTGACATCCTCATTTTTAAGAGTGTAAGAAGTACTGAGACCAAAGAGTTTGACAACTTCTGCTATAAAGTAACATTACCATGCTTCTGATTTGCTAGAAATTCTGTGCTTTAAAAATTTTCCTACTGCTAACCAACGGGCTAGTCTCCTCTTAATCTGCCAGGGATTCTATACTTATCATCTGGTTAACTGTAAATGATCATCTTCTTAACTGAATTTATGACTCCATCAACAACAGTTTGTAGTGTAATCAAAAACCTGAAGCACTGTGTTCTTTTCGGTAAGCGCAAATACGTGCGCATTTTTCTGAAAACATTTTCTCAATTAACTGCATCGATTTATATAAAAATCTGTCAATACCTGGTTGGTTGCATCGCGTCTTAAAGATTTCAAAGAAAGTTGGCCTCTCTTTGCATCCAACAGGCATTTTCATTTACAATATTTCTCCGACGCTCGGTAAATAAGTCTGCAAAAGAGAACACCGAAACACACTCCACAGGGATGCAGTCCTTGCTAAGTGACACTGAAGTAAAATCAGAAGCAGGTACGCCTGCCCAAAGTTACACTTATTTGCCTGGATCCCATCTTTGGGGACAAAAATCAAAGTCACCGAGAGGATGGAAGCATTCTCTGTATGTGCTGTCCAACATGGTAGCCACTAGCCACATTAAGCATTTGAAATGTGGCAAATGCGACTCAAGAACAGAATTTTCAATATTATTTAGTCTTAATTAACTAGTCATGTGGCTAGTGGATCCGCAGTTCGGGCTCCTACTGGAAATAAACACTTGACAGTTGCAAATCAGTAAATCCTCATAACACAGCAATTACCTGGAGGTTACGGCAGATACACTGTGCCAGAAACTGTAAAACATTTTCCAAAATAGCAATATTTCGTTCAAAGTAACTTTTATCTATCGTGTTTCCAATCAAGGACATTTCATACGGGGCGATCTGGGGGCGGCTGGGGGCAAACCTGAGCGGCCTGCGCGGCCCAAGACTGGGACAGGGAGACGCAGGGCGGGGCCGGCCGGTTTGCCTTGGGGAGGGGCTGAGCCTTCGCCCCGAGGAGCCTGTCCTCCCTCCCCACAGTGAGGGGCCTACGGAGACCGTGGAGGGCCGGGCGCGGGAGCCGCCACCCGGGCCAAGGGAGGTGTTGCCGCGGCTTGAGGCCGCGGAAGAGACCCGTCTCCACCCAGCCGACACTAACCGCCTCCGGAGCTGCAGCTCTTTCCGGCCGGAGTAACCTGACCAAACCCGCGCCGGTACTTGGATCAGAAATCTGACCCCTCAGGCTCCTTCCGGCGGCGCCCCACAATCCCAGCTGCACCCAAGGAGAGGAGCCCCGACAGCTCCGCCTCCGCAGACCCTGTTTCAGACTCTCGCGCCAAAAGTCCGCTCTCGCGGCACGTCACGCGGTGACGCTTGACGCCGCACGCAGCGTGTGCGGCACCCGGAAGTCGCGCTTTGGCCCGACCGTCTCCGCCTCTGCGGGTGGGAAAGCCAAGCCTTCATTGTGCTGAGTTACAGTCTGTCAGGAACCGCGGAAAGAGGGAATTGGGGCGCTTGCCCTCTTCTCCCTGAGCCTTGCGCTCACAGCGCGCTGCTTGTGGGGGCGGGGGGGCAGCGTCCGATGAATATTCCCCGGCTCCTTCCCGTTCTCTCTGCTCCCGCTCACTTTGGGTGGCCACCTTCCCACCCGGCCTGGGGTCTTGGAAAGGCCCTTCTTCTGACCTTAGGGCGTTAAGTGCTCCAAACTGGGCCCCACTTTAGAAAACCCGAGTGTTCCGTGGTTGTGCACGACTCCCTTGCACTTGCTGCTCTCTATGTGGAGTAGAAGGGGCTGAGATTTGAAGTCAGAAAACTTTTTAGTTTTGGTCCTCCGTTGCTCTTTGGTGGCTTGTTTTCAGGAACCCTGAGCCTGTTTATCCTCTTGAAAATTTGTGAAACCACCTTAACTCTCTCCTGCAATGTTAGGTACTGCCTTTTGCAGGTTTCGAGTGAATTCTGGAGGTGCAGGCTGCTCCTGGGCCTTGCTGCTTCTGGAAAGCATGTAAGCAGTAAACAGCGGAAGCAACCTTACATTAGAAAAAGGAAGGGCTCTACTTGGTTTCTTAGGTGTCATTTTAGTTTGATCATAACTCTTAGGGTAGCTGGAAACCTTACCGCTACAGCTGGCTACCAGAGTTTATGATAGTCCAGGTCTAAACCGCAAAGGAACACAGATTTGCGATCCTTACCTAACATAGCTACCATTTATGGAATCTGCTTTGTGCTTAACAAGCAATATTACATTTACTCTTATAATAACTGAAATTGGTTAGTATTTTCAGGTGGGGAAACTGAATGACCTAGTTAAGAAACCCTCCAGGTAACAAGGCCCAGGTTTCAGTTCATTAAGTCTGAATTTACCCTCTAAATTGGAACAATTTGCTTTTACTCTCCTTTTGAGAGCAGTCCTCGTTAGGAGTGGACTAATGAGAGCCACTAGCATGTCACACAACCCTCTGGAATACATTTTCTCTCACCATATACACTGTCTCCCCTTCCCCAATAACTTGAGGCTCCTTGATGCTGTGGCACTAGAAGCTTTAGATTCATTAAATCTGCCATAGCAGACTTTCTTTCTCACACTCTTGTAATGCAGCTGCTCAAACAATTTGCTAGGTGTATTCAACTTAACGCTTTAAAACAATTTCTAAAATGGCAAGTCACTCTAGAAGTAATTGCTAATTAAAGCATGTGTGCGAATAAGTCAGAAATGAAAAACAGCTTTGAAAAAAAGATTCAGAGAAGTGACTTGAAAAGATAGGAAACAGTAATTAGGAATCAGGTGGCAATTAGACCTCTGTAGGTAGGTAGATCTTCCCTCTTCAATTAGTATAATAGGCAGCAACCCCCATCAGAATCTGAAATAAATGGAGAAGCTGGGGATGAACTTGAACCAGCCTGACCAGGAGGAAGAAGGGGCGAGTGAAGGTGGAAGACAAAACAAACTATACCAGGCTGTTGCTCTGCACCTGGGTTTTGGGGAGTGGATGGAGCGCTTTGTCCATGTTCCCTACGGCTTCTACCAGGGCTATGGGAACACGATGCCCTTGGGCCAGCCTGGACTCAATGAACACAAACAGCCAGACTGGAGGCAAAACACCGGTCCCCCCACTTTCCTGGCCAGGCCTGGGCTGTTGGTGCCTGCAAATGCCTCCGACTACTGCATGGACCCTTACAAGAGGGCACAGCTTAAGGCCATTCTCTCCCAGATGAACCCCAGCCTGAGCCTGCGGCTTTGCAAGGCTAACACCAAGGAAGTCGGTGTGCAGGTGAGCCCGCGGGTGGACAAGTCCGTGCAGTGCTCGCTGGGGCCTCGCACCTTGCGCAGCCGCTCCCCTTGGGGCCGTGCAGGCCACAGGGCACCCCTGCCAGCCTGGGGAGTCTACTCGCCAGTGATAGGCCGCAGGGGCTTCATCCGTCTTCGGAAGGATGGGGAAGACGAGGAGAGGAAGATGCTCTCGGGTCCTGCAGAGGCCAGCCCGCAGCAGCCTCCATCACCACCTGCCAAGTCGGAAGGGGACAGCCAGGAGGAACTCACGCAGCATGAGGAGCCGGCGGAGGAAGATGGCTCGAGTCCTCAGAAAAGGAAGAGCAAGCCGGCCCGGGCAGACGCCGCCGATCGGCTCAGGAAACCCTGCTTCCAGGTGAGCCCCTCCCCTCAGCCCTCTGCTAACCTCTCTTTCCTCTTTTCCATTTCTGGGGCAATGAAAAACAAAATTTTCCCTTCTCCCTTTATTTGACGAAGAAGAGAAAGTTCTGAAAACATGTATTTCACATGGTCTCTATATTTTGCAACTTTTTCGTAAAATCGGTGCTAGCTTTTAACTTGGGCAAGCCAAAGTCTGGCAACCACTGGGAATCAGGAGACAAAGAAGGGTTTCAAGTCTGTCACATATGTGATTGGGTTTTTGTTTCGGGAAAATTGTGTTGGTGGCATGGTGGAAAACCGATTGGAAAAATAGGACAGTAGGGAAAAGAACCCCAGAGTAATCCTTGAGAGATGAGACACCAAATTACTGTTGTAACCTCAAAAATAGCTAAGAACAAGGTTAAAGAGGTTTTTTTTTTCTTTCTTTCTTGTACAAAGTCACAAGGAAAGAAGTATCTTTCCCCTCCCAAGATAGTAAAGGACTTTTTCCCTTTATCTGCAGTTTTTGGAACCAAAATATGGTTATTTTCACTGTAAAGATTGTAAGACCAGATGGGAGAGTGCTTATGTGTGGTGCATTTCTGGAACTAATAAGGTAAGTAAAAGTGAGAGGGCCTGGGGAGGAGGATGGGGCTGGCACAGACGTTACGTGGAGGAACAATTTGCTTTGGAATGGAGCATGAGCAGCATGCTGCCTGGCTCATCTTGGCATTCTCTGCTGGGCACTTAGGAAATACTTGATTTGAACTGAACCAGCTCCTGCGGCTCCTGCACCGTATTCTGGTGTTGGATTTGGTTCGGTAGTTCTGTTGGGTTATTTATTTAGATGAACTCTTATTCTTGTGTATGCTGGGACTGTCTATAATCTTTTTTTTTTTTTAGGTTTATTTGAAACATTTTTAAGTCTTAGCTCTAGGAAATTGTCAGTCTGTCCACAAGGTGGAGCAATAGGAGAAATAATTTATTGTAAAGTTTAGCTTGGAGGGATTTATTGAGGCTTAGAGGGCTTTTCCCCCTTAATTTGAATTAATTGCCAACATACTAAGATTGGGGAAGATTTCACAATCTGCATTCCAGATTTTGCTGATCAGACTGTGTTTACAGACTCTCATTTCCGTACGAGAACCTTAGGCTGAGACTGCAGCTGGGCGGCTTCTGTCTCCTCTCACTAGGCATATGCACTTCATTTTGCAACCATCTACATGTGGCCTATTTCATTAACTTCTACAGCATTTGAATCTGAATTCCCTGTGCTGTCACATTTTAGGTACTGCTTTTCTGGCCAAAGAACTGTGGAAGGAGAGGGCAAGGAAAAATGCTAAGACTTGAATGAAAACTTGGCTTTTTACACAGGCCATTTACTAGACCCTGGAATCAAATAGATTTTTCAACTAAACTGAAGTTGCTTTCCTTCTTTTGCCAGAAGAAAAACAACGGGCTTATTTCAAATACTCTAAGACAGTAGGATACAAAGAACAGGACATAAAACTCATCCTCAAGAAATTAATTCTAGTAGGAGTGATGCAAATAAAATGAATCTGGCGGTATATGCAGTGGCACCCCTCGTACGGATGGTATGGAAGTAACACAGGAGGGAGATGATTGGCTCCTTTGGAAGGAAGGGATCATGATGTGCAAGCAGGATTTTAAAACAGGCCAAATAGGGGAGTTCACTGAGTGAGGCAGGGAGAAAATGCACAAGAAAGGCCTAGTGTATTGGTGGGAAACTACAAGTAATTTGAAGTTCAAGTGGGGAAATATGGAAACAGTAGGAAAAGTAGGGGCTAAGAGAATAGGACAAATGAGAAGATCCAGACTTGATTTGAAGACTTTTACTGTGGTACTTTATGTACGTTATTACATAGTTGTTAGAATTATAGAAAACGGAGTCGTGGTATCTTGGTTTTACAGGTAAGGAAGGTGGGTTTCAAAGAGTGAGAAAAAGTGACTGACGACACTAGCAGAACTTGAGACCTCAGGGTAGAGGTTGGGCGAAAGCAAGGTCCAAGGTGAGGGGAGGGACTTCTTAAATTAACAACTGGGAGCCTAGGGTACATATAAACTTATATTAAAAAAGACAAATTTCTCCTTAGGTTTATTTCAAACAACTCTGCTGCAAATGCCACAAGAGTTTTAACCCTTATCGAGTAGAAGCAATCCAATGTCAGGTAAGCACACAGAATACTTATGTTGTCTCCATACTGTTTCCATTCTTACATATGAAGCTTCTGTGGCAAATGTTAGGATTTGGTAAAATTGGATATTTGTATAGGAGTGTTAGGTTTTCTAAATGTTTCAGTTTTTATAACATTTTAGAAGCAACATTCTATTTTTTCAGGAGGGGAGTGGAAGGGAGGAAAGATTTACTGTTAAGTTGCATTCTATGGTGTGTTTATGTTTGGGGTTTCTGTGTTTTTTTTTTCTTGACCACTGTGTATAG